AAATTAGTTCTGCTTTAGTTTCGACTTTACACCGTACAGTACAGGTGTGATTATACAGACATAATTTCTACACTGGGGATCTATAAATTAAAAAAAAGGAAATGTAGGTAGTGTGATGGGAGTTAATATTGTTCATCTGACAAAGGTAGGACCAAGTCATTGTTTTGCAAGTCATAAGTAACTTTCAAGTCTTTACACCGGAGTCCCAAGTCCTAAACTTTTAAGTTTGAAGGCCTTAACAATTTATAATGTGCCATTTTAACAATGAATTAATACATCTACAAAATACATGAATGCATTTTAGAAATTGTATTTAAGTTTGCATGCTACATTTAGTTTTTTGTCGATCACAGTGTGGTATTTGTACACAAAGGAAATTTCCTTTGGTATCATTTCTTCCAAGTGGTGCTCAGTATCGTAACGTTAGTTCTTTATGGTTCTTTCCTGCAACTTGACAGTGTGGTTTTACAAAAGACAAAAGACAAGACAGAGGAAAATCACCATGTATTCACTTTTATTGCTTTGCACTGATCACTCATGACAGGAAAGTCATCATTCTGGCTAACAACAGGTCGCTATGTGCTTCGCTGATGTCATGCGTCTGTACATCAGAACAAATACATTTTTACTAAGTGACGACAGAGTGTAAAATCTCCACCTTTTTGTTGTTGACATAGTTGATCCACCTCTTGAAGCTGACATATGTATAGCTGACATATGTATAGCTGACATATGTATGTTGAAACTGATGTCATGTTACAGTAGTCTATGTTTTCATCAAAATAACCAAGCTCACATTTTACTTTTTATATCAAATGGTCCATATGTGTATGGAAGTCATCGTGAAGTACGTGTGACCGAATTCAAATTTAAGGTTTTTAGAAAAAATATGTCATCAACTTCAGTTTTGATGTTGATGGTACAATAAATTGACATTCACTGATCATTTAAAAAACAAAAAATAGTACCTCAATATCAACAACTTTTAAATGTGAGCAAATGCTAGAGTTGTGACAACAGTACACACACAAACAGTTTTAAGAGTAACATTTGTAAATGGAGGCTAAAATTACATCGTTTGAGTTGGTAGCTCACGCTACGACTTTCACACAGACGTGGAATAACACTACAACACACATTAGCCTCTGTGATGAGCCGTGTACTGGTTCACTCTTGTAAAGTGATGAAGGTCTGTCTTTGGCATGTGTGCCATTATATGTGTACCTGTACATCTGTTCTGAACACTTAAAATTATCAGTACAAGACTTGCACATAAAGAGCTTCGACAAGGCACGTAAGCTATTGTCCGTAGAGTCACTGTAGCTACACACAGACAGAGCCAATGAAATAGACACAAAAATCATTTCACAAATTATTCTTTGCCTGAATATGAGTCAGGTTCATGAGTCCATACATTGCACAGTATGGGATACTTATTGCTAAAACAGGACCGCACTTAGCAAAATAAGAACAACTTCATAGAATATTATAGTTTTTACATTTACTGTAGAAATATTTTGCATAAAATGATTTCCAACGCTAAACATACCAAATTATCTTACACCACACATGCGCACACACACACGTGCACGCACACACGCACGCATACACACACACACACACACACACACACACACACACACAATTACCATCAATAATACAGACAGTATAAAAACCGGTGCATCTAACTGGGGTCAGGAATATTCTTTCTTTTATTTTGCACCTTACTATATTTTATGATTTACAGCATTTATTAAAATAGTTGTGATATCAACGATGATAGTAAATACAGTCAACTAATTATCACTGCCTTTTGACAAAAAAAAAAATAAAAAAAATCAAGTGACCAAGTCAGAAATCATTAAAGATTCCTGAGTTGTTTAACTGACATTTGAACAACAGCTCTATTAGAGTTGGATCAGTGTAAAGATTTCAAACCAGTTTGTTATTAAGCTGAACACCAGTCTGGACTGGTGTAATGAATTTTATGTGGTGTCGCACTTGACAGAGCATTATGTATTGAATCCATTAAATATGCATTTCTGTCACATCATGTAAACAAACCACATCCATATCAGCTGTTTGCTGTTTGTTGGACCAAACCTCTTAAAACATCCTGCGTTTGTGCCTTTTAATCAGAAAACATGTTTTATATTGTTATATTTACTGAAAATTACATACAATAGCAATGGTCATTGAGCAGAAACATCCAGCTCCCTGCCAATCCCCCTCCAGCTAGATGCTACCTTATTTTGTTGTTGTAGTGAAATAAGAAGGTGTCGTCTTGGTAAGTCCTTATTTCAACTTCACGAATCAGCCGTTGCTCGTCCGCTGCTGCACTTTCAAGGCAAGCCACAGGAATAAATAGAAACAGGGCTTTTAAGAACAGTTTAGCTCTGAACAGTGCATTGTGTTGCTCGACTATGTCTCCTCTTGTCACCCTAAAAATCACACAAACTTTCTAGCAAATAAACACAATGTGCGCAACTCTTTCCCTCTCCCGCCAGTAAACTGTTCACAGCACTGTCAGACACCAGTGGCTCCGTTGGTCTGTTTATTAACAAAATATTATATTAATCACACTGTCATATTGCTTATTACTAATGCAATACAAGTTGTGTTTACTTTTAATTTACCAGAACATGTCATAATGAAAATGCCAATTCAGCCGGTTTGCATAAAATCAAACTGGTTTAAGCTTGTACACCAGACCAGACCGACAAAACCAGACACTGACCCAACTCTAAGCTCTATAGATACGGTGGGAGGAGGAGTAACCTTTTTATGAACACACTAAAATCCATTTTAGGTAAGAAACTATACTGGCAAAGTGCTTACTGTACAGTACAGACTTCATATGGCCTCTGAAGTAGGTAATGTTACAAATGAAAAGAACACAGTATACATACATACATTAACAATGTTTCTATAAGAACACATACAGTATGAACAGTGAGGTTTACAGTGAAAACTGACCAACTTATGAGCAGCAATATTAATACTGAGTGTTCCCCTGCAGACAGGAGAGATGAACCATGATCAAATTCTACACAGATGTATGTAGTATAATAGTAGTGTGATGTCGTAGTTTTGATCTGAATGTACCTCTGTTTTGGTTTGTGTCATTTGCTGTGCCAGGCTAATTATGAAATATAATCGGCTGGCGCTGACAGTACCTGAATGGCTTTAATCAAATGAGTTTGAAGCTGGTGTAGTTAGGTGAAGAGTCTTAATATGACTTTAAATACATGTGAAAAAACAGTGCAGCGCAACTCATGGTGTATGAGCTACTAAGAAAATGTACAGTACTGTGACCAGCTTAAACATTAACAATAAAATTGAAATTAAAATGTTCAGTGGGCTAAAAGTAAATTTTAATTCGCACAGTCCAAGATCCTCACCAGTGAGGCCCCTTCCTTTGGCATCTGTGGTTCTGATGTGTGACAAATTGCAAGGTTGAGAAAGTTCCAAAACAGTGAGCGTCGGTGGGCAGTAACAGCCTTCGTTGCTTGGAGATGTGCGCTCTGCACTGCGTCATGGCAGCCACCTGTGCATGTGCTGCACACTTCAAGACTTGAGTGGAGTAGGACTCACAGCCCCGGGGGAGCTTGCCTGCTGCCCCGACAAAAGGAACCCCGCAGGCAGGTTGTCCTGCTCCAGTTCTACGCCCCCTTTGCCACTAAGATGGTGCTCGTCAGCGGGGTAAAGTGTTGTGTGGGAGAAGGTATCGAGAGGGGAGGAGGGCCTCCATTTATCACAGGAAGGTCTCGGTAGTAGAACCCCCTCCTGGTGAATCTGGGCTGACGTCGACTCTAACGCAGGCCACCTTTTCCTGGCTGTTATACAGAGATGGAGAAGACAGAGGCAAGATGAGCGCTTGTGCTAGTTTATGGTGGTGCTGAGGGTGGAGAGTGACTGCAAAGAGGAGTGATAGTGCTGAGAACAAAGACTTTACCACCTACAGCACATGTTGATGATGAGGGCTTATGTGAGGACTGTGTTAAAATATGCAGCTCTCAGTTAAAACTATTCAACTTGTGTTAAAATGTTCATGGATTTCCTCAGTATGTATAAAAGATTTCCTGTCAGCATACTCAAGCTAACATCTTGAGGAACTAAAGGAGACCAGAACAAACCTTTCTCTCTGTTTGTACAGATTTAGACGGTAATACCCAACACTCAACCTTTCGGTCCTGCTTAATATATATTGAACTGATCCCCTGCCGTCCAGGAAGCTCTGAGCCTCAGTCTACTTCACTACAGTATATAAATAATTTTACAGAGTCATAAAACTCAGCAGTCCCTAACAGAGAATGTTATTTTTGTCAACATTATATAACCATATCAAAGGAATACTTCACCCCTCAAAATGACTTTTATGTATCAATTACTCACCTCAAGCTGAATTTGTTAGGAAAACTTTTTTTGCAACCCTCCTCAGAAAAACGAAGAATCCAAAAACTGAGAAAATTCTTGATTAACTTAAGTCATAGGGGTCCACATCTAACAACAGTGAAACTATGGCAAATAGATTGTTTACAAACTCTCACACAACTTGCGCAGCATAATCCAAGTGTCATTTGATGTGTTTACAGCTGGATTTTAACTTCAGTGTAATGTATTTGGGAAATGTGCAGACTGGACTAACAAAGCAGGACAGATGTTTATTACAAATACTACTAGCAGGTTCTACAAAGGTAATTACTAGGAAATGGTTGAGTAAAGAGTCCCCAACAACCTCTGAATGGACAGAACAACTGACTTTTTCCCTGAGACATGCAACTGAAAATGTGAATATTGGAAAGATGGAAATCTTATTTGACTTTGAAGTGATCTAATTCATTTGGTGAATCTTGTTTTGTCCCCTTTGGCATGGGGACATGCGGAATGGATAGTGGCTCATGGATGACTGGACAATTTTTCCCTCCCTGGAGGGGCTCTGGATTTTCAGGGGTCAAGGTTGGGGATCATGGGGACCTTTGTGGTCTTGAGAGACGATAATGGACATGGAGGACGCCTTGTCAGTGACTCTGCAGTATTCCTTGTGTCTTCTTATTTTCTGTTTTGCTCAATGCTGGGCATTTCACCTCTGCCTATGATGTCCCTGCCTGTTGTGGTTTTTGTACGCTCTTTTCTTTTTGTAAAAACTAGTAAAAGCCAGCCTTCAAGCCACACACTGACAAAAACAGTAACTTTACCTCTCTGAACACAGGAGCTGCTGGTCTGCCTTGGCCTTGATTGGTTGATTGTTTGTGTTTTGATCAGTTCTGGTTTGAGTAGCACCAAAGTCGCACAATACTCTACAAAGTAACTTATCGATTCAGTAGTAGACCAGCAGCTCCTGTGTTCAGCAAGGTAAAACAATAGGTTTTGTCAGTGGAGTTTGAAGAGAGCATAGGTGAGATTCACTTTTAGCTCACTTTCCTGTCGAAAAAGTGCTGTCTGTTTGGGAAGCTCTGAGCATACGACTGGATCAATGACATTTGGGTTATACTGCACGAGCTGTGTGAGAGTTTGTAAAAAGGATGTTTTGATATAGTTTTGCTGTTGTTGATCGCTGTCCGCTATGACTTCAGTTCATCGAGAAATGTCTCCATCTTTGGATTCTTTGCTCACTGGAGGCATACGACAAAAACAGTTTTCTTCAACAATTCATTGTAACATGTGATGAGTCATTGATATACAACTGGTCATTTTGGGGTGTGCAGTATTCCTTTAAAGTAATGCAGTTGGGAGAGGGGCTCTGGAAAACCCCAGGAGATGGCATAGCTACCTTCCACTACGCTTCACAGGTTGGACACAAGACTCTGCACTCGAGTTCACTGCTTTCCACGCTGCGGTTTTGGCCATTTCATCAGAGATATTTACAACCAAGGGGTCAGAATGAGAACTACATGCAAGAAAAAACGCAAACACACACAAACATAAACCCAAAGAGAAGACAGGCATGTAGACAACAAATCAGTGGGAGAGGTTCAGTGCAGGACAGTTCAAACAAGCAGACACAAACATGCACACAAATCAGAGATTAAAACAAATCAACGGCACAAAAAGGCCACACACAGTATGTTCCACATTAACATGTACCAAGAAATGTGTGCCTTTTGCATTAGAGGCAAAAGTTATGTGTCATGATGATTAGATTGTGTACACATTGTTAGTTAGTTAGACAAGGATGTCTTTATTTCAACAGGACAAAGGTTTTATCACAGACCATTTACCCTCAAAATACAAAAAAAACCCCAACAACACACAAAGCTGCGTGTTTTAAAGCCAGTGTTTGTTTCTTTTAAATAGCTGAGGACAGTTTGGGCCATGCGCTAAATGTCTGAGTATCAGTGTGGAGGGTTAGAAAGCAGCCATGTGGGTCAGATGTTTTCCATCAGACACACAACCCTGCTACCTCTTCTTCCATTGGGAGGCTGTGGGTCACTAGTCCTATGCTGTATGATCTGTTCAAGATGGACATAATAACACACAGCTGACCACCAGTGTCAGAATTACCATTACAAGTTGTACATGATGCATCAGAAAATGTGTTTATAGCTCCAGTTTATTATTTACTTTTAGCTTTATTTTTTCCTCAAGTTTTTAGATCATATATACCATAAAGACATTTATTAGGGAGGAAGAAAATCTTTTGGGAAATTTTAACATTTTACAGCATTTTAAGTCATAAAAATGGATTTTACAGCCTCATTAGTCAGATCATAAAAAGCAAATATAAAGACTAAGTTCTTGTGGTGTGATATGGTACTGTATAATTAAATGTAGAATACGCTCGATGCTTCACTGAGTATTTTAAATTAAATGCTGCTTTACATCCCAGAGCTGGACATTTAAGTGCATTTATGGGCTGCACCACTCACCTCCCTGAGAGTGTTTTCACTGGGATGTTGAGCCGGTTCGAGGCTTCATAGCTGACCTTCAGTCCCCTCTCCTCTTCCTCCTGCAGTCTGGACTCTTCTTCCTGAATGAAAACAGCATTGGAGTACAGCCATGACTGCAGTGAGGCAGGTAAAACACTGGTGACACTTATTTTTCCTAAATCATGACATTTCTAATAGTCTAGTTCTTCAGATTTGGTTTAAAGATATTTTATGGGCATTTTTTGCCTTCAATTGATAGGATAGTGAAGTGTGAAGGGAGGAGAGAGGGAGGGACATGCAGCAAAGGGCCACAGGCTGGAGTCGAACCCGGGCCGCTGCGGCAACAACCTCATACATGGGGCGCCTGCTCTACCACTAAGCCACCGACGCCCCAGACTGGGTTTGATGAGATTGCACTGCTTTACATACATACTATTTACTAACCTTTACTTGTTTATAAAGCTTTAAATGACCTTGCTCCTCCATGCGTCAGAGATTTTCTTTCATTTGATGTTCCTGCCAGATCACTAAGGTCCTCCACTGCTTTTCTTTTACATGTTCGTCATGTGTCCCATAAGAGCACTAATGAGAGACCCGTCTGTTTTTATGCCTCTAAACTGAAACTCACTGCCTCTGGTAAGCTCTTGGTAACTCAATATTGTTATACTGTAAAACATTTAGCAAACAACTGTCTGCTTGGTTCTGTAACCAAAGACAAAGTCTGAGTGAATTCAGTTTAGATTTTCTCCAATGTGGACGTTGAGGTGGGTCAACGCAGTACAGAAACGGTTAAAATCAACAAGCTGCTATGGTCAACTTTTTGATAAAGAATGGAAAAACTAAACTTTTCTCACTGTGCTATTTAATTACAGTTTGATTTTATTAAAACTAAACAAAAAAACATGAAATGAGTTTTACCAGCTTTTCTTGTGCTTTCTTTTTCTTGTCGTCCTCTTTCTTCTTCTTGCTTTCTGGCATCAAGTCATCCAGCCAGCTCAGCTCTCTCTTTGTGAAGATCAAGTCTAGAAGCTTTCGCACAAAGACCAGCGCCAGAACCTTGAGACACACAGACAAGGAATCTTTTATTACAGATCTTTAATAACATCACAAAATCTGAATCAAACAGAATAAAAGCAGTACACTGGAAAAATATTTAATATCTTAATTTCATCTGACACCAAACTAAGCATAAATTATGTATCGTGGTGATATTAGAAACTTTATTTAATCCCATTACTATGTGACAGTCTTTGAGGTCATTACCATCATGGGAAACACAACAGCTGCTGCAGAGGCCTTGATGACCCAGAGCAACACCAAACAGGTAAGCTGCACTATGGTGAAGATATGGACCTTCCACAGCGGCACGTAGCGCAGATAGATCAGATCAGGCTGGTGCTTGGCAGGCATGCCGAACAGCTTGATTCTGTCAAAGAACTAAAGAGAAAATGAGAGCCTCAGTGAGAGCGATAAGAAATGCAAATGAAAACGAAATGGAATTCAATACATTATTCAGAAGAGGGAACATGTTCGACAAAAGCTTTTACGGATTAAAAATTACGATCAAAGGTTTGGAACTACAAGGGGCAAACTTATCTTTACTAACAGCTCATGACTACCGTTGAGAATAAAGAGGACACGCTATCTTCAAAGACCAGCAGAGTAGAGTCTTACTTGAATGCCTTTGAGGGAAGAGACACCCATGTAGAGAAAGACTCCATACAGGACTGGCATAGGAATAAACTGTGAAGAGCAGAAACAGTAATTCACCTTACATTTCAGAAAAGGTGATGGGATGTATAAGTGTGTTAAAAATAAATGCAGCATAAATAAGAATTAAATTCAAATTCTTACTAGTATTATGCCACTGTTTCCTGTATCTCACCTTGAGCACTGAGGTCATGAAAACGGAACAACCCATGAGGACAAAGATCATGAATCCAGTGACGCGCTGCTCCCGGATGCCCAGAAACTTGGGCTGCTCTCCCGGAGCGGAGCAGCCAGACTCCACCTTTAGGCTGTTAACGTGGGAGATGGAGAGGACGGTTGCAGCTACGAACCACGGCAGGCCCATAATGGAGCACAGGCCCAGCATAACTGCCACTACCAGCAAATCCAGGTGATAGCCACAGCCCTTCTGTAGGACACACAGGGAGAGAAAGAGACAGCAAGTAAGTTTGAGAGCCAGCTAAGCAGTTATGAGTTTGTCCCTGTGGAGGGAATGTACTAAGAAAAATAGAATTACAGAAAACAAGATTGGAGAGCATGTCTAAAAAATTTAATATGCCCATCTATACTTGGAATACTGAGCTTCAAACGTTTGCTTTATGCATTTTAAAAGGTGGACTGAATTTATTTTTAAAACTGTAGAACCCTGAGGCATAAAAATACCCCAGAAATAAAGCTAAAAGAGATTATAGTTGAAGCGTTTCTGTGAGATGAACACAGCAGAAGGACAGACAAGAGAATATGTTAGCTTCAACCATAATCGAGGATGACAGAAAGGGAGAGGACCGATGAGAGATGACTGAGCTACAGAGGGATAAAGAGGACTGTGAGTGCAGATATAAAGACAGAAAGTTGGACGCAGCAGAACCAAATTTAAAATAAAATTAGAATGAATTATATCAGACATTTGGTACGTTAATAAATCGGTTTAAACTAGGGCTGTACCGAATGTCATTTTTTACATTCAAAGCCTTTACAGAGGTTTTCGAATAAAGCTTTGAATGTCTGTCCTCTTTTAAGACAACTTCACCCTTAAAAAAAAACACTGAACAAAATTCTCAATTCCAATACAGTGATTCATACAATTAAATGAGTAAGTCTGTCTCTCTTTTATGACATCAACTCTTTGTAATGAATGCATTTAATTTATGGTGCTGGTAGACGGCCCTGTTGGTACAGGTGCGTGGCTCCCTTTGTGTGCAGCAAGTGGGAGAGATAAGTGAAAAAGTTGTTTCTGAAAGGCCAAACAGTGACAAATACAAACTGAAACAGAATATTTCTTTACATAAAACATGAACTTGAAAATCTGGAGTCTTTTTTTCAACAAATGTATTCAGTCTTGGACTTTCTAACACTCTTATCCATTCTTTTTTGTTTCTATATAATGGCTTTTTAAAACACATACATACATACATACATACATTATTTTAAAAAAATAATTAATAAAGAAGAGTATCACGACTAAATATTTTAAACATAACTACATCAAAATCTAAAATGTTTAAACAATAATCATATTTCTGACATCACAGTACTGAGTGAAATTTAGAGAGAATGATGAACACAGACATGAGTCAGTATCAGTCATTAATCCTCTCCTCTGCTGCTGAGGTGATTCACTGCCTGCAGGTACAGCTGGTAAATTTTAAGATAAAAGTTAAACAGTTAGACTACATACAGACAGCTTTTGTTTTAGCTTGTTTGTAACAATACCTGAGTTAGCACTATGTAAAACATAACAGCAGTGGATGAGAGACTGCGGACAGAGCAGATTAAAATATTGCTTTCTATGTGCTCATGCTTGTTGGACAGGTGTATTGATAAAATAGTGGCTGTTACTCACTAACATTTTATTGTGAGTTATCTTCACTTTGTCTCCATCGTGGCCTCTCTTCTCTGCTGGCCGCTGACTTAACTTAACTTAACATGTGTGCTTGTGTGTATGTGAAGGAGTTTAGCCCCAACACAGAGAGCAGAGGAGAGGCTGCAGCATGATAATAAGATCCGACAAAACAAGCTTATCAATAGTCCCAGGACTTGTTTTGTACCAGGTTACGGTACCCATTCCTAAATCACACGCAGCCACCACTGGATTCTAATTCTATAAACAGTATAATACTAATAATGTGAGTATAGCCTGATCTTTATCTGCAACTGTGCATAAATACTGGGTTTAAACACGTGAAAAAATATGTTGATTTGGAATTTGAACGTCAGCGTCACGAACAAAGCTTCAAACTATTTGATACAGCCCTAATGTTTGCACTGCTGGATATAAAGGAAGGGATAGACACCGAAGACATAAACAGAAAAGACAATCTAGGATACTTCCACTTCAGACAACCTGTGTGTAACTCTGAGACACAACACTGCCAAAAGTAAACCTCCACCGGCCACGCTGACCTTGAGCTTGTGCTCCTTGCGGTTAATGATGACTGCAGTGATCTGCTGGTCCATAAAGATGAGGATGGTGCAGAGCAGGGCAGGAAGTGCTGCCACCAGCAGCGTCCACCAGGGATTTCCTCCCACCGGGTCCATCAGCCAGCCTCTGTGCTTTGAAGTTGGCTGCAGGGAAAAGGCACGGTGGGATACATTTAATATATTAGAAAGTAGATGATATGTGTGTTTTAAACTTCTAGGTTAAGACTTTGCTTAGAAGAAAAAAGAATAACCACCTTACAGAGAATGTAGAGAGGTCACCTTGTCATTTGAATATTCAGGCATATAGACAGATAAACATGCTGGAAGAGATTGCCTACCTCAAAGCGGTCAGGGACCTTAAGTTTAGGAGAAGGGATCCCCATTAGATAGTCCACCAACACCATGATCATGATGGTTATAAACACAGCAAAGTCGCTGATAGTGGATCGCACCTACACAACACACATGCACCAACAGTGTATTTATCTATTATTTAGGAATTGCAGCTGAGCATGCATGCTATTTTCTATGTCACTCATACACACACAGCAAAAAAAAAAAAAAAAAAAAAATAGAACAACCACAGTCTTTAACTTCAGGTCACTGTCAAGATTCACTAAAGTAGTTATTACATTCACGTCATCAGTGAGAGCATAACAATTGAGACAATACCAGCACCTGCCTACACAGAACACCAAGTGATAAAAGACTAGCTGGTACTGTGTGGGAGGATGCAAGAGGATCTTTTCTTCCTGTACATGAGACTGCTCCTGTATACTAATGACTGACAAAATGTAAACATTTACATAGCGTGGGAAGCTTTAAGCTGAATTTACATGCTGTCGCAAGAACACCATGTTCAGATGTGCATTTATCAATTTTTATATTTGAATCAGCGACATAAAACATTCTGGATTTTATGGTGTTAAAAGCTGAGTTTGTGGTGCCGACAACAGCATAACAAGAGGACACATATCAAATGTCTTACCCTGGTGGGAAAATATCGCTCTGTCTTGAACTGTTTAAGGAAGGAGGATAGGAAGAAGGTGGTGAAGAAGAGGATGACGGACCAGAAGAGAACATCTGGGATGTAGGGCCCATGATGCCCACAAGCAGGACCCACAAACGACCCATGGAGTGTCTTACACATCTGGAGAAAATGGAGTGAAACCTTAGTATTGTTGTATGAATTATGAAAATCTGGTCCAGTACTGCTAGTAGTGACAGCCTATCCACAGTTTTAGTAGAGGTTGCATCAGTGTTAATCCTATACATCCTGTACATTTAAGTGTGAGTGGAGATCACTGTGTTCTGGTCTCACCGAAACATTCAGGCTTTCCCATGGGATAGAGTCTGGGCTGTATCCTGTCCGGTTCCACACCTGCATCACTTTCTCTGAGGCATTGACTGGTGGAGAGCACTGACACCTGGGGACAAGAGAACAAATGCTGAGCAAAGTACATATGCTTAAGGTGAAAAAGAGTTTGGTTCATTTTAAAGTTAATTAAAAACAGGCTGCAGCAAAACTGCTAGAATCAGTTGTTTTTAAATTTGTTATTTTGCAAGGGAGTAATTTTCATTTCAGCTCTGGGGAGGAAACGCACTGGGAACAGCTGAAGCCACTACAATTAAAGTTTTCCAAAACAAGAGCAGTGTGTTCTTATGGGGGTAGTATTTACGTGAATCATACACTACTTTATATAACCAGTTAGCACTTCGAATGACATCCTGACCTGAAGAGTGTTTTAGAAAAGAGATGTGTTTGCTCCAATTCTAAAACAGTACCAATGGTTATCAGTTAAATTTCCTATTTTGTCACTAAAGAATGATTTAACAGATCAAATGCATTACAGAATACATAAATATTAATAATGAAACTGTACATAGTAAATATGCCAAATGTAGCCAAATTGATAAATCGCTTCTGGGGTCATGAAAACATAGACTGGAGATGAGACCTGCACTATGAAGCAGCTTCGGCATATCCTTTGGTTATCTGGCTTCACTAAGCCAAACAACTGCAATCATGGGAAGCAGTCATACAACAGTGGTTATCAACTTGGTAAATCAACCCCAATTTTCCCAGTCTAGCCATGACATGAAACATAAATATGACATAAAAGGGGCAGTGTTTGTAGAATACAACCACTTGCACAAGTGGAGAAGTCTACTGTACAGTAAAGTTGCAGCTGTCAAATGCAAGAAGGATATCTGGCAAAAAAATCCATGACTGTATGAATATGTAAGTTAATAGGTTTATAATATCACTGCCACATCATTAGGGCACAAGTAGGGTTGGGTACCTAACTCTGTACTTTTAAGGGTACTGACCAAATTACGTTGGTACTATCAATCCATGCATGTTAAATCCACTGGTGCCAAATTTCTGTACCTATGAGCACATCTGGATGAGAACGCTAGGTTCAGACAGCAGGTGGAAGCACCAAGAAGCACCCCGAAGCTGGGATGCAGTCAGCATCTTTCCATGGCCGATACAGAGCTCTGCAGAGCTCCATTGGCTTCCCAGCAAGCCAAAACTATTGCTGCAGTACTGGTAAGTTTTGGCGTCTGGCCTATTTTCTTTTCTATATTATTTTAGAAATACCCTAGTATCTCTTCTGTTTATCTTTGGTACAACAGAATGAATAAAGTACCGCAGATCTGACTATATTACATTTGCGTATTCCATTAAATGAATCTGTTGCTTGTATATATTCTTACAGTGTGTATGAGAATCTTCTTTAAGCTGTGACCCCGGTGGTGTTAAACGGACTTGGGAGCAAATGATAAAAAATAATAAAGAGAATTCAAAGCAGTAAGTTGGCTGACTTTCATATCTTTTAAGTACAACAAGTACAAGGCTTTAGTGCTTGAATCCATCTCTGTTGTAGGGTGAAAATGAAATAAAGAAGACATGAGGGGGCCCTCCTACACAGGAGTACACTCCTGCTGAGAAGCTGGCCCTCTGCAATAATGAGGGATGCCCATTATTGGAAATGGTGGAAGCGAGCATCTCATCAGACCCTGGTGGAAGTGGCAGCTCCCTACTGACGAGAATCTATATCTATCATATAAATAATCATCAGGGAAAGCCAAAGGGCTTCCCGGTCTCTAACAATCTTGCCCCTGATTGCACAGTAGGTAGCGCTTTCATACATGTTAATCCGCTATCTCGGTAACCAGGACACTGTACTCTGATAGGAAGTGACCCAGGGTTGAACCTGAAGTTATCTCGCTAATCCCAAATCCTGCTTCATAATACAGTCCTCTGGTTAATCTTGACTCTTCATTGGGGTCTAAAATGTAAGAAAAAATGTCTGCCTACCAAAAGACAAATTATTACAAACAGAAAATCAGCAAAGTGGTTGTTACTCGACAAGATGATAACTTTGTTTTAAGTTACCAGACAACGATATGCAATGGCCATGTTTACAGCACGCTTGATGTGCAACAACAGCAACAGAGCTGCGCCGTTCTTCACAACAAGAGCTCCCACAAACTTTAAGTACAAAGCTTAAATTTGAAATTAGCTGAAATCTTAGTACTCACGAATACAGGGTAAGGTCGTCCAAGTCATTGTGCATGTTTACAGGGTAGTGTTCTCCCAAGTGAAAGAGCTTCTCTAGAGCCTCATAGATGAAGATGATGCAGATGAGTGCGGCAAAAGCCTCCTCTGTGAATCGGGTGATGTAGCAGACCAGGGAGCTAGCATCCGTGGCCACCAGAACCAGACACAGGAAGGCCGTCCATAAACCAATGGTGGTCCGCAGTGACAGGTAGGACAGGCCGTAGTCACTGGGAAGGACAGACGACAGGTCACATGGAGAACAGATACAGTACAGGTATAATCATGCACATTAGGCCCAACTCAATTATTGGAATCCGTACGAAAATAATGTAACCAGCTGTATACTGTTCAGACTTTTTTAGTCAATACTTTTTTAGTCAATACTTTGAATACTCACTTGCAGAACTTGAAGAGGATCTTCTCAAACACTAGAACAGGGCCTGTGCTGCCAAGAATAGTTAGTGGCTGGCCTGCGAAGAGGGAGTATGCCACTCCTGTCAGTGATGCCCCAAACAGAGACTCTATGGCACTCTGTAGACACACAGGAGAGGGAGGGATTGAAGGAGTGAGAAAGGGAGCATGTGGGAGGTGAAACCATCCAAAGGAGGACAGAGAGGGAAAGACTGAAGGAGAAAAGAGAGAGGCGAAGAAGAGATCCCAACCAGAACACAGTGAGTTTTGATTAAACAGACATTTTGGGCTGCGTCCGAGATATTCACTAGATAAACTGTCTGAATGTTTCCACCCTGCTGACTGGTCTGAAGTCATATCTGTGTGTAGCCCTCGCCTGCTGAGTTTACTCAGACGCATCACACACACCAACACACAGACAGTGCCTATGCCAACAGTCCCTTTTCTAGTAAGGACATCTGAGTAGAAAGGAGAGAGGGGCAGACAGAGAGAGACAGGGAGTGATAAGAAGAGAGACACTATGTAGCTACCAGTGTGATAAAAGATTAGCACTCGGGAGGCTGAGTAATCATCATATCCCACTTTAGACAGTGAATTAAGACCTCACGGTAAAAGACATCCACCTAAATGAGTATGTAATAGCACGGTGAAGTGGTTTGAAGGATGATGGTGCTTTCTCTTGACACACTAGATGACCTGCTTTAAATACAGATAAACAGGGTAGTCAGAAGATGTATTTCTCATGGAGAAGTAGTAAATATGGTTATGACTGGGGTGGACTGTATGCAGATCACATCTGCATTTAACCACCACATTAAAGACTGTATGTATGTACATAAACATAAGTTTTACAATGCTAAATATCCTGGTTACATCACATAACTCCTTTGCTTTAACTCGAGGATTCTGGGGAACTCAGGGTTTCACTGTCGTTCAGTCAGAATACCATCACAACATCCATTTTAAGTGCCAGTACAATACTCACTACATTCAATTATAGACTCATACACTGCCTGGCCAAAAAAAAAAGTCGCCACCTGGATTTAACTAAGCAAATAGGTACGAGCCTCCTATTGCATAATTACTGCATGGGCGATTATCTTTCAGCTGGCAACAAGTTATTTAACCCCAACTGGTGCAATGAGTTGCTTCTCATTTCCTAAACAACCATGTCGAAAGACACATCCCGTGGTCGTGGAAAAGATGTTAGTCTGTTTGAGAAGGGTCAAATCATTGGCATGCATCAAGCAGAGAAAACATCTAAGGAGGTTGCAGAAACTACTAAAATTGGGTTAAGAACTGTCCAACGCATTATTAAAAACTAGAAGGATAGTGGGGACCCATCGTCTTCGAGGAAGAAATGTGGCCGGAAAAAAATCCTCAATGATCGTGATCGGCGATCACTTAAACGTTTGGTGAGATCAAATCGAAGAAAAACAACAGTAGAACTCAGGGCTATGTTTAATAGTGAAAGTAAGAGCATTTCCACATGCACAATGCGAAGGGAACTCAAGGGATTGGGACTGAACAGCTGTGTAGCCTTAAGAAAACCACTAATCAGTGAGGCTAACCGGAAAAAAAGGCTTCAATTTGCTAGGGAGCATAAAGATTGGACTCTGGAGCAATGGAAGAAGGTCATGTGGTCTGATGAGTCCAGATTTACCCTGTTCCAGAGTGATGGGCGCACCAGGGTAAGAAGAGAGGCAGATGAAGTGATGCACCCATCATGCCTAGTGCCTACTGTACAAGCCTGTGGGGGCAGTGTTATGATCTGGGGTTGCTGCAGTTGGTCAGGTCTAGGTTCAGCAACAGTATGTGCTCAAAGAATGAGGTCAGCTGACTACCTGAATATACTGAATGACCAGGTTATTCCATCAATGGATTTTTTCTTCCCTGATGGCACGGGCATATTCCAAGATGACAATGCCAGGATTCATCGGGCTCAAATTGTGAAAGACTGGTTCAGGGAGCATGAGACATCATTTTCACACATGGATTGGCCACCACAGAGTCCAGACGTTAACCCCATTGAGAATCTTTGGGATGTGCTGGAGAAGGCTTTGCGCAGCGGTCAGACTTGGTGAAGATCTTGGTGAAAAATTAATGCAACACTGGATGGAAATAAATCTTGTGACATTGCAGAAGCTTATCGAAACAATGCCACAGCGAATGCGTGCCGTAATCAAAGCTAAAGGCGGTCCAACGAAATATTAGAGTGTATGACCTTTTTTTTTTTGGTGGTGACTTTTTTTTGGCCAGGCAGTGTATATGACAGCCAAATTAGCTCTTCCTAAGTCCCACCCCTTTTGGCTCTGTGCTGTACTAACAGCTGAGCAAGCTTGGAACCCAGCAGAACCTCTGTCAACTTTCCCCTTTCCAGTGATACTTAGATATGTGCTGAGCTTGTCTGTGTCGAAACGAAGAACAAATTTTAAGATGGTTAAAAGGTGTCACTGGGGGACTGTCACAGTCTTGAAGGACACACGACACTGTATTTAGTCACGTCTTAAAATCTTTGCAAAACACTAGCTAACTAATTAGTTAGTATACGGCTGAGCTAAATCACGAGGAGACTCCCTAATATCAGATCAACAACTTAGGCCAGGTTTGCTTCCTCTTTATTTCTGTGGTAGTGTTAATGAGATCTGGTTGGTTGCTGACACATTTTTAAGATGACTTGAACTGTTGTTAGCTAAACATCCTTTGATTATATAGTCTCTGTAAGACAGTGGTGCCCCAAAGTAACTAATGTAACTTTCTACAGTAAAAAAGAGACTAATGTAAGGTCGGTAATCCTCAGAAGGGGAAAAGGGGACATAAACTTGGCAGTGCAGTAGCAATGTTGACTCTTAGGCCCTGTTTAGACGACAACGGTTTCTCTAAAAATGGAAAAGTCTGTCCTTTGCGTTTTAAAAACCTTCTGCGTTTATATGACAACTTTATTGAAACGATCCCCGTTCACACGGAGCCGCAAAATCTACTGGAAACGCTGTAGTATGCACGCCAGGCCAATTGGTGGCAGTGTAAATTTGCAAAGCAACACCACGGCATGCGCCTGCGCTGAAGCGCCTTCCTCTACAACGCGGTGATTACAAACCAAAACAAAGAAGACACAATGGTGAAAGCACGCACAGATAACTTTGTCTGGATGGACAACGAGGTGGAGTTGCTACACTAACAGATCTACACTTCACTTCAAACCAACAGGGTGAGCAGCACCAACAGAGCTCGGCATTGTTGTGACGGTCGACTTTTTTTTTGGAAACGGCAGCGCCTCCGTTGTTTCGCAAATGCGCATTACGGTTCCAGTCACTAGGCATGCGTGAGAAAGTCGACTGTCACAACAACAATGCCGAGCTCCGTTGGTGATCTGTTACTGTAGCAACTCCACCTCGTCGTCCATCCAGACAAAGTTATCTGTGCGTGCTTTCACCATTGTGTCTTCTTTGTTTTGGTTTGTAATCACCGCGTTGTTGAGGAAGGCGCTTCAGCTCAGGTGCTTGGCGTCATGCCGTGGTGTTGCTTTGCAAATTTACACTGCCACCCATTGGCCTGGCGTGCATACTACAGCGTTTCCAGTAGATTTTGCGGCTCCGTGTGAAAGGGGATCGTTTCAGTAATGTCGTCATATAAACGCATACGTTTTTTAAAATGCAAAGGACAGATTTTTCTGCTTTTAGAGAAACCGTTGTCCTCTAAACAGGGCCTTAGGGTGCATTCACACGAGGATAGTCCAGGGGACTTGGTTCGGTTGGGCAGGGAATACTGAAAAATTTTACACCTTTGTTTGGTTTGGTTCACTTTCACACTGCACTTTTCAAAGTGGACTAAACTTCCTGGACAGTGTCACGCAGTTACAACAGCTGCTCATTTGGAGGCGATATTGACCGAAACGACCACTGCCCAGGAAGAAAAAAAGAAGTAAACGCGGCTCATCAATTGGCGAGGATTGAAAACGGAAATCCATCCCCTTCAGCCAGCAGCCAGCAACTGCGATATATAGTCCCATGACCATATATCAATAAGCACCTGCTCTTCCTCACTACTCCAGTTCAAATGAGCGTTCACACCACTCCAAACGAACCAAACTGTCAGTGGAAGCGGACCAGGGTTCATTTAAAGCAGACAAAATAGCGCCAGTGTGAATGCATCCATAGTGCTGTCATCCTTGGCCCCTTCTTGTCCCTTTTCGTTGATACCAAAATGGCTTCATTTGCATTGTTTTGCCTTGTTCAGTTTAGTTAACATCACATACTTTAGTCCTTCCTGTCGGCTTCTTAAAGCTATCTTGCCTGACACTCCCAGAAACTGTGGCACCCAGCTAAGCAGAACCAGCACTGTCATGTTTCCTTTTATCAAGCTTGTCTGACCTAGCAACAGTAACTAAGGGGTAGCGGGACATACGATCAGTACTGTACAAGGTCCTGTATATCTCATTTGATACAATATGGTCCATAGACAACCAGGGGTTAGATGCTAAATTCTCGCTGTGTTCATGAAAAGCAGTGAGTTTTAAGGGCCAAGCTTTCAGACTTACTATGTTGCCTTTAGTTGCCTCCCCAAGCAGACCTCCAAATGTGATGACAGGGGACATGCAGGCGCAGTAGAGGAACAGGATGGAGGCTAGACACTGCAGACTGAAGGAGTCTCTGATGTCGCTCCAGTAGAAAGGTAACTTCCGCTTGAGGTCCAGGATCAGACCTCCGAATATCCTGGAAGAGGGGAAAGGTAGTTTTTAATACTTGAATTTTCACAGAAACTTAATATGAAGCAGTTTTCCATCAATTACACTGAGATTTCAGAAATCCCCCTTCAGAAGTATTCTTTTTTATAATATTTGACCCCAAAACCTAGATGGCACTGTGATCTTGCTGCCTTCATCTTTCCATTTCCGCCTCTCTTTTCTTTGAGGGATTCAATCTGTCACCTTGTATATCTTCCTGTCTTCCCTCTGACACCTTTTCAATTGCTCTGCTGTGAGGTCTTCTTTCATTTTCTTTTCCCCCACACCTCTTGAATAACCTCTATTGCCTGCCTCCACAACCCCTGCTGTCTCTTCTATACAGCCCATTTCTGATAGCTTTCTTTACACCAGCTTCTTACACGCCTTTGTCCTCCAGTAGCTCCCTCGTAGCATGAGCCTTTTATAGTAGCGGTGAAAAGCAAGTGAGTGAATCTGTAAATAATACAGTGCCTCACAACTGATGTGTATGTGTGCAGAGAGTGTGAGTGTGTGTGTGTGTCTGTCTGTCTGTCTGTCTGGGGTTTCAAATAAACACAACTTGTCCTTGCTGTGTGGCCTGAGCTCCAGAGAGCCAGCATGAGTTCTCCATAAATGTCAGCATCTGAGTTCACAGAGTACAGTAGACATGTACCTGCTAATACAGTCAGTGGTGTTGGGTTTGAACCTTTTTACATTTCCAGGGTTTCTCTTGGCTCAAAATGAGGCGGAGGTGGTTCAATCCTGATCATGTGCACACACGTTCATGTGTATCTTGGTTCAACTGGCTTTCACTAGCTCAAGTGAACACGTTCTTACAAGCAATGTATTTAAGAACTAGGTGTGTAAATCACAAGTTTCATCACAATACAACATTATATTGACTCTTTGGACAACAATATGATATTTGCTGATATCACTAAGTCTGCCACAATACAATTTCAATCTGATTCAATTCAGGTGCCTGTGATCCAGATGAAACGATATCAGTAAATATCCCCACTGTCTTTTCTTGGCTGCTTACCATTATCTGCCTGGTGCTCGGCCACTAGCACTGTTTGAATGCTTAGGAAGAAAGTGACACAGACGTGCCATGGGAATTTCAAAATCAAGGTGTATCTTTCGGATAACAATATCAATAAAAATTCCCCAAAGCACATTTTTCCAGTCTAAATCTAGTACAACCAAAAGAAGACCATTGAAGTGTGAGGTCATTTTGGAGACATTGTACTGTATAAGAATGCAGTTATTAAATATTTTTGTGGTAGGTTATCCCTTCTCTGTGTTGCACTCTGTAGACAGTCCCTGCGCATTTATCTCACAGCTGCCTGCACACAAAGATCAACATTATCTGTCCAGCTCAGAGGAGGGCTCCTTGAAAAATTAGGTTGAGGCTTGTTGTCACCTTACTACAGTTAGAAAGGGACGTTGTTTGTGTTTTAACAGTGTTTTGCTTATGAGTATTGATCCAGGAAGTTGGAATCTGTGAATATCTTTCCAACTTTACTGAACTGCATAGAGCTGCGCAGTTGTGGAAAGATGTCTTCCATTAAGACACTTGTCAGTTTTGTCGAGAGGTGGAGGCGGGACAGAATTTGCGGGAGGTGGCTGTTTCACAATTCTCTATGTAGGAAGAAGCCTTTCATTTATTATTAAATTCTATGATGTGTCTCAAATCATACTTCTGTACTTAGACTTACTATTTTGAGTGCATAAGTGTGTTCACACTGAGAAGTATGGTAAAATGCAGTGCACGGTGAGGACACGGATGGTGCACTCAAAACGGTCAAGAAGTTGAGTGTGGAACTATGGACACTTCTCGCCCTCAATGGTCTCCATCTTGGCTACGTTGCTGAAGGTGAGGGACCACTTTTCAAACTGGAAATGGCGGCCAAGGACTGTGCGACCGTAAACGTCGCTGCATTGTACAAATACATGTGTTTTTTACACTAAGCACCACTATACTGTTGTTGAGTATAAGCCAGCAGTATGTTTGTTGGGTTAATTTAGCAGTCTGTAACGAGTTGGTACTGCGAACAATAATGTGGACGTTAATGCTAGTTTGCTAACTAGCTCATTTGCGGTCGTCATTCCCGGTGACTACACAACGGCCGTGTTTGGTTTGAGACAACAATACTAGGGATAGACCGATATGGATTTTTTAGGGCCGATGCCGATTTTTTTCCATCACCCTTAGCCGATGACCGATTATGGACTGCCGATTTTCTTGAGCTGATATTTGGGGCCGATACTGCTTTTGCTCCCTCAATTTACATAAAAAAAATGACACAATGATAACAAATATTACAGGTCTCAAGTTTAAAATAAGAAACATTTATTGAACAGTAAAAAATACTAAAACAAGATGGAAAGTTGAGGTAGAACAGGTAGAATATTATTATTATAATTATTATTATTATTATTATTATTATTATTATTATACATTCAAATAAAAAAAAGAGTTCAGTGCTCTTAAATCTTCCAGTAATGTCTTTATAAAATAAACAAATATTTAAGCTGAAGCATAAATAAAACAACAACTACTGTACACAGTAGGATTCGCTGCATGTGCGCTGCAGGGTCTTCCGGCAACACAGAGCTGCCCATGGATGCCTGTCTGTAAATCATGCCAGGGAAAAATAAATCCGCGAACACACGCGCGTATCGGCCGATGCTGATACAAGTAAAAAACTCAAATATCGGCCCGATATATCGGCCGGCCGATGTATCGGTCTATCCTTAAACAATACCCTGTCGAAATTCGCGCACTACGCCAATGAGTACATAGTGTGCACATAGTATACTACATAGAAGTATACTAACTATGTATTTGATTTGAGACACACCACTAGTCTTTCTCAATGATATGTGAAGAACCTATAGAAACAATTACCAAAGTTTTTACTAAACACCTGCCAACAGATCAAGCAATATTGCTGCCTGCTGTTTAAAGAAAACCTTTTGATAATGTCTTGTCTCTCATCTTAATTTTGGAATGTTTGTAAAAAAAAAATTAGGTCTTTCTTCCACGAGATTTCTCCAGCGGTGCTTGTTAACAAGAAGCATTTGTCTCAACATAATCAACATAACATATTAAACATGACTACTTGTGCTAATGAAGTTGTGAATTCAACTAGGACACAGTTAAACTATTAAATATTCCTCAATATCAACCAACTGGCTAACACAAGTTATACTGATAAAAGTTACTGGAGTGAGTAAGTCCCATTTAAACTCAACAGTGTGACAAGGAAAGGTGTTGAACTCACCTCCCAGTCCTCTGCAGCTCAGGCCCTGCATGATGGTCCTCATCGTTTTCCAGCTCTCCAGCTGGAGACGCAGTGCCATTGGGTTGGGTCGGTCTCTTCCTTTTCATCTGTAGGTCAAAGGACATTTGAATATGGTACAAGCTGCATTTTGAAAAGCAGTCTTTTTCTTTTTAGTAGGTACTGCAGCTGCAGCCGTACTGATGCATGTAGTAGAGGGAGCTTTGCTGTAGCTGCTTTGCAATGTATGTAGTTTTTACTCTAAGTTACAAGTGAATACATGTTAAATTCTAACACATTATATTAACGACATTAAAATTACATATGCGTCTCTCTGTCATTGTTATTTTATAATTATGTCCTTTTGTTGTTGGCGATCTTTATGATAATTCTTTTCACTTCAAGAATTAACATTCTTATTGTAACTATTCATCCAGTCATCGGTCACTTGAATGCACTTTTATCTGCTGTTGAGGCCTCTGCCAGCTGTCAGTGAGCTGTCAAGCTGCCATCTGTTTGCAGCTCAGTTGACATGATGCATCTTCTGCTGTGCAGAGGACTGTGGGCCAGAATAGCTAGTAGAACATTGTGGTATTTTTGGCATACTGCATTTAACATACTATGTATTGGGACATACAAAATGTTCTTGTGGCATACTAAATAGTATGATAGTGTGGGTATCGGAACGCACAGATTGTTGCATGCATTTAAATTCCATTGCTGTCATGATGCTTTAAATCCATAAGGGGGCACTCTCAGTGTGACTATAGTGGTATGAAGTGAAGTGTGACACAGAAATACACAAATAGAGAAATCAATAAAAACTTCTAGGTTACAGTTTGTGAGACCAGACCTAAAAACTGTATTTTAGGTCTAGTGAGTGCAGTGTCAGTGTGCTGCAGGCTGATTAGCATGTAGCTGGTTAACGTTCACTGCACCAGTACCTCCCAGGTTCATCTCTGTATGTTTGTTTTACATGACACTAGATTTTCATGTCTGTAAAACACATATCTTTGCAGGCAGTAATCACCAAGTACATGTTAAATAACCACTGACAGAGACAATCACTAACCTGAGATGGAACATTCTTGGGGGGCTCAATCCGGATCGTGGGGTCCCATTCTCCAGGAGGCAGGACAGTCACTTGATCGAGGAACTCATCTATCCCCGAGAGAAGATCTGTCCGGTCTTTGGCTTTGTACGCCACATCATGGAAAATCTACATAATGATGATTAAAGATATAGTTATTAAATGTCACTGCAAAAAAGAAAAATCCAGACTGAACCACATAATTTTTTGTTTTAGGACATAAACTGAAATAACAAAACAGATCTATCTTTCTTTCTTTCACCTCATCTGTCATTAGTGTGGCCATGGATCTGCCAATCTCATGGTACTGGGGTCCTTTGCCATGAGGACCCAGAAGCAGGAAAAGAAACCTTTGAATAAGAGAAATAATCATGAAATGCACAATCAATAACACGAACCTCAACACTCATCACAACAGTTTATACTATCTTCACTCAAACACACCTGAGGGGTTTTCTTGTAAACAGCTAAATTAACATTCATATCTCTCTAAAATGCACAGTGGGTATCCTTGGGAATATTAAACATGTTGAATGCATTTGATAAGAGGACTTGAGTGAAAACTGTTTGCAGTAAGGTGTATGGGGTCACCCACATGCTCATGGTCTGCTGTGTAATGAGCATCAGAGCTCCACAGAGGTAATTGCATGGCTACACACTCTTAGTCTTATTACTGTAGAGATTACAGACATGGCAAAGAGTGTTGTGGACACAGATTTACTGTGGTCAGAGCAACTGTAAATCCCCTAGTTATATTAGTATATTTTAGAAATTACTTAGCTTGCTGTAAGTTGCTGCCAGAGTATAATAACTTAAGTGTTAATAAACTTGTAATAAAAGTCGTTATCATGATGTCACTGAATTCCAAATGATTGTACCTCGTGGGCACAGGCACCTCTGTGAGGCCTGTGATAAGGACCGCAGGGGACAGTCGTACAAAGGCTATTATGGGCTTCTCCAGGAAGTCCACTTCTCCCACCAATACATTGGAAGCTTCAGCACCCGGAGGAATCTTTTTCATGAAATTCATGTCGACCTGAAAACAATGCAGCAAATGGAAATAAAGAATCGGATAAACAGATAAATGCTAACAATAAACAGAAAGAAAAAATGAGGGACACACATGCAAACAGAGATGTAGGAATGTAAGGGATGTCAGCAGGTCGTTTGAATACTATGATAACAATGACAGACAAGGCAAGTTAGTAGTTACATAAACAACTACAAAGTACTGAGCAAAGATTTTCTGTTGTTGTCTTACAGATCTGAGCATGGCAACAATTTCTTTATCCTTGTGTAGAAAAGACTTTGTGTTTATCCCTCTTTTGTATCTTGTGACTCATCCAAACACTGCACCTTATTTTTTGGCAGTCATAATGGATGGTTTTATAACGGTAACTACTTATGGCAGCCTGCCATTTTATCTAATGGATGAGGCACAAAATGTCAGGATGAATGGAGGCCAAAGCGAGGGAGGAATTTTCAAAACTAAACACAGTTATGTAACTGTACAAGACTCTTACTTTGTTGATCAATTCGTACTCCATTACAGGTAAAGCAATGACTGGAGATGCCTTTTACTGACCCCAGTAAAAAGGGCTGATGGGAATGTGATGGCCGCTCTCATACATGGAATTTACAACACAGACCATTGAAATGTCTGTGGAAGTCCGGAGACTGAAGGAGGACATGATGAACTCACGGACCCTTTCTGTGCTCAGTACTATGGTTAGGTTACCTTGCTGAAGTCGACACTGCTGCTTTCTCTACTGACCCCTACTTTAGATGGTCTTCTCTCCGCTGCCTTGTTGCCATCCAGGTTGTTTGGGAGAGAGTGTGGAGACACCAGTGGTCCTGGGAGGGACAGGGGGAGAGGAAGGGCAGGAGAGACAAAGTGGTGATGGACACTGTGTGTAAGTACTTGGAAAGCAAAGACTGGTCGAGGACAGCAGTGTGGCTCACCATGAAATGCCATTTGGGATTTAATTATTAAATGAAAGTTATTAAATACCATTTGATCTTTCATTTTTTCTCTCTACTCAGATTTTAGTTTGAAGAACTGGAAAAAAAGGTCATTATCAATATTTTCATCTATGATAAACCACTACTTTATGGCATGGGCTTATCAAACAAGAGGCATTTTTTTTCCATAAAAGGTGATTTCTTGGCAAATACAAAATACTGAACTCACACAGCTGCCCACACAGGTTTGTGATGCTATGCTGGTTTATTCCTGTTACACAGCAACATTTTTGTTTTTTAATAATGCTAACCCTTTTATGTCATATGTGACATAAAATCCCATTGCAACTTCTACAAGAACTGTAAACTATAAAATGATAAAATACTGAAAATATTTTTGTTTTATAGGTCATGTTAAACTTTTCATAATTTTCAGGATATAGGATTGTTTTATTTTTCTTTTTTTATATAAGCAAAGCAGGGTTAGGGGTTAGGGTTAAATGTTGTAATCTGTCACACTCTTAAGGCCCTTCCACTGCACAAAAAACCCACTAACATCCACATCTAACACTTGGCTTTTGTATGTACAATCGATCAGCAGTGATATAAATATGACACCTGTGTAGAGAACTGGATACAACATTGGAGGGAGAGCCCTGTTCATTATGGAAGTTGCTCAGTGATGCATTGAGCCCAAAAAGTTCAAGTGCTACTGCTGAGTATAAAATTAGCTGGATGATCAGCACTACTTCTTCACTGTGTGGCCCAAAGAGCAGGTGCACTAGAGACCACTAGAGACTTTTCAAATGTTATTGAGCCCAATGGATCAAATTCAAATAGTGAAACAAGTCATTTTGCCGGGGTTGTGATGCTCAAAAAAATTTATTCCCTGAATTTCAGACGTCTCTTTTGTCATGTAAGTCTGTGTGAAAAAGGCTTTTTAGGCCAAAGGGCATCACTTGACGGTGTAATGACACTGTTTGGCCACTACGAAAATTGGCTTAAAGCCAAGTGCACATCCTAGGAGCCTGGGATGGGTACTAATTTTAATCCCTTTTTGTGGTGCGATGCAATTATGTGCCACCACAGAATACTGTCAGTCTCCATCCAAGCAGTGCTTAAACATCAATCAAAATTAGTCAGATCCGAGTTTGAAAGAGAGACTAAATAAGTAACAGATATAAAAACAGGTAACCACTGTAACATTTTCACTGGCCTACCTGCTGCTTTCTACTGTTTACTAACCTGTTTTACAATGGGTCCATGACGTCAAATGTGACCCACCAGAAAAAACAAAGCAAAACAGAAAGGTCTGCTCATGTACTGCATGGCTCTGGTGTACTGGCAATGGGAAAGAAGCCTATTGCCTATTGTTAGCAAGATTCCAACATTTAAAAATCTGTTTATAGGGGCTACTTTTGAAGAAAGTTGGTCTGATTAAAATAAATAAAATAATTAAAGCATATTTGATATTAAAGCTCTGTTTATGTGGAGAGGGTTGGCTAGCTAAATCTGGATCACTGACAGAGCTAAGGCTAACTTAGCTCAGAATTTTCCACCATTCAATCTGTAAACCCTTGAAAACCTGACAACCCATAAAGATTATTATTTGAGTGCCTGAGATTGGCCAAAGTATTTTTCTGACAGTTATACATGTTACTTTTTCCCCAAAATTTTGAGGCCGAAATGTTGCTGTATAACAGAAAAGACCCACAAGTTCAATCAAACAGTGCTGTTTTGGTGTGATATTTACATTCTGTTTGGTCATTTTAACAGGAAAAATTAACCACTGCATCGCTGATACGTAATCACTGACTCTAATTAGTAGGGATGGGTCACGATTTTCGATTTTCGAATTTCGAATAGTCGTTTTATTTTTGAAAAATCGATTTTTTAATGCAACTATTACTATTCGCCGTCTTGTTCCCCCCCTTTATTTGACATGCAATTCAGCTCCTAACTGCACGAGGGCAGTATAGGATTGCTACAGCGGTGTGAGATGGGCTACCAGGGGTCTGTTTCACAAAGCAGGTTTAGTGAAAACTCAGAGTCTGTTAACCCTGAAATGAGGGAAACTCTGAGTTTTCCGTTTCAAAAAGGGAGGTAACTCAAACCAGAGAAAGAGGAGTAACTCTAGCCTGTTTCAGAGAGAGAGGTAACTTAAGCTCTCGGTCAGTTACCGTAGTAACAGACTCTATGAACCTAACCTGGTCGGGACCAGGTTTTTGTCAATGAACCTCGAGTTTCTCTCTGTCTCCGCCCTCTTTCAGAGCCACACACTCCATTTGATTTCCTCATTCATTCAGTCAGCAGGCGAGTTTTGGCGTAGCCTAGTTCTGCCGTCTGTCATTTTAAAAAATCAGAGTCAGTATATTAGAAGTCCATTAGGCACAGTAGGTGGCGACTTTTTTCACTAACATGGCATGTCCTTTTGATAACGATCCCGTGGATGAAGGTGCAGCATTACTGCGCAGAGAATTAAATATTCGTCGGGACATGGATATCAGACTGCACATAGATGTTTTAGCATTTCCACACAATTATCTTTTTGAGCTGTACCGTTTCACGTCACAGTCCATCATCTATATACACAACCTAATCCGTCCTTACATTTGCAACATTACCAATCGTACTCATGCTCTCACATCCCAGCAGATATTATGTGTTGCGCTGCGTTTCTTTGCAAATGGAAGTTTTTGGACAATGTCGGAGATGCTGAGCACTTGAGTAAGGCAACTGTATGCAGGGCGGTCAGAAAAGTGTGCTCGTTTTACGGGCACACTTTTCTGCCTTCTTTCTGTTGGCTGAGTAGAAGTCTGTGTTAGTTTAAATAGGCTTAATTATTTAACAGAACATGATATAGATGAGAAGACATTTATGTGTGTGAAAACAGCATTATGTTGGGGATAAAACAACTGCACAGTCAAACAGCCACTTAATATTTACTTTACAATGTAAAACATGATCAGAATGAGGTACCCCCATGAGATTATGCTGAGCCTTACCTGTTTGAACAATGTTTTTATATTTCATCCTAAACTGCTGCCAAGTGCGCTTCTCCCCTGCGGGATTGCACCTAAATGAAATAAATCAATAGGCCACCATTCAAGCAGTTTTCCCCTGTAATATTATTGTGATTGCAAAGGACTACATTTAAACTTACGCATTGACCCGAGCAGCAATGTTCTCCCATGCCGTCTCCCTCTCTTTTGCAGCTGCAGCGGTGTTGTACTTCTTTTTGAAAACGTGCGCAAACTCGCCGTATGAGCGCATTAAGATTTCTAATTCTAGTGGGGTGAAAAACGCAGCCCTCCCCGTCCCTGTTGCCATGGTGACTCGTCGAATCGGGGCTCCATTGATGGTGGCTTTTTATAGTTGTGGTGCACGCGCTTAACTCCAGGTGAAACTACTCTGAGTTGATTAAACTGATTCAAATCAGCTGTTCTGGAACCGGAAACTCAGAGTTTCCTATCTCAGAGTAGATCAACTCAGAGTTCAGGATTAGACTCAGAGTTTGTTGAACCTGCTTTGTGAAACGGACCCCAGCTAGTTTGATGCTCTTCTACAAACAGGAGAAACATGCAGAGACTACTACTGTCATCAAAAAGTTCCGTGTGGAACAACTTCGACAAAATAAACAAAAATGAGGTGCAGTGCAAACTCTGTGAGGCAAAGCTTGCGTATCACAAGTCTACAACAAATTATTCGAAAAATTGTCGAATAGTTGCCATGATTTTCGAATAGTGTTTTTGCTTGTGCTGCCCATCCCTACTAATTAGTGAAGTGGCCTGTCTTATTAGTGTGGGAAAGCATTAGTACCAGAATGTCAGCTCATTTCTCCGCTTCTTATGTCTGTGTATCAGCCCCAGGTTGAGATTGTCACCTATTTAAGTGGCTAATATTAAACCCACAGAACTTGCATGGGGATCTGGTGACTACATATAATGATCCACAGTTAACTGAGATACAACAGACAGGCGATCAAGCCTGGAGCTACACAACAAATGAAAACAGCAGTGGTTTGCTGCAAGTGTAATCTCTCTCTAGAACCATTACTAGATGTGATGACTTCCTACAGAGCTCTAACACTGTGGTGTCTCTCCACAGGGAAGAAGATTTATTTCACAGAGTACTATTCCTATTTGCTCCTTGTCTGTTGAGCTCATTACTGCAGTGCTTAAGTCAGTCCTGCTTAGCTTGAATTCATGTCAGCTTTAAGCTAAAAGTGAGAGGACGTGTTCGATAGGCAAGACAGTTCACCTTCCTCAGACTTCAGCACCTTCAAGTGTCGAAGCTCTAAAAAAGGCACAGAAAGCTGTATGCATAATTGGCTGCACACTTCAACATTGCTTATGTGATTTGAGCCATACTAGATACAGGAAACGCTAGCACTTGAGGTGACATGAGAGTGGGAGATGAAATGAGGGGAGTCATGTATTTGGATCAAAGGATAGCATTTGCATACTATCCTCCGACATTCTGAGGTAACACTTCTTTTACCAGGTTTTCCTTCTTTTCTCATTTCCCACATCAACACATTTATTATTTTGCCATCAGGAAGTAAGCAAACCAACCTCGAAGAAAAAACATTTAGAAAGGCTTTAGCAATATGCAACATCCCCATCTACAATAATCCCAAATCAGAATTAACATGAGCCATTTCTACCAGCATGTGGCTTGACCAATGATCCATACCCTTGAACTGTACCCTGCAGTAACCCCAGTGGAAGCTGGGTAGCTGTGACTGCTGAACAGGAGCATGACTGCTCACATACCCAACAAAGCCTCTTGGAATAAGGGAGGGATTAGCTTAGGTTGCATTCGCCAACGCACTTCATTCAGGAAGGCTAAGCCCTGGAATGCTCCCCCCTACTAGCCTTTTAAACAGTTGC